AGGGGAGGAACCCTATGTCCACACAGGGTGGAAGAGCAGTGGGGAGCCAAATGCTGCATGAAACCTTTTTTGTAAGGAGCCTTAATCTTCTTTATGAGGGAGGAGCCCTCACAAACTAATTTCCTTTTAAATGCTCCACCTCTTAATACGATCACATTGGTCATTAAGTTTCAATAGCTGAGTTTTAGAGAGGACACATTCGAGCCATAGCAGCAGACCTCCATTTTCCAAAGTATAAAATATGTGTAGCCCAAAGCATGCCTTTAGACATTTAATCTGGGCCAAGTCTAGTTGTCTCTGGTGGGACAATACTTGGTGTATGCTTCCAAACTCAGAGCTAATGTTCTGCCCTTTGTGGGGGCCCTGGGAACAGAGGTTGAATGTAGGAAAATAATAAAGGTGCTTCTTAGGACAGAAACATTAGTCCAAGTGCAATCCATTAGGCAGTATCCAGGAAAGATGCCACAGTTGAGAATTACATAGTACAAAGGGACCAGGAAGAGAGAGAGATTGAGAGAAGGACAGGTGGAAGAACCACCTAGAATTTCCTTGAGTTCTCTATCCTATTGAGTGTCATAGTCTTAGCCAGTGTGTAAAGAAAGTTGGTAGGTACACTGAATTAGTTCATTCTCTTCTTTTGGTCTTTCCACTGGGTCTCTGTGTAATACAAGTGATTTTACTGCATCCAATTTTAGACTTGTCTATAAAATAAGTCACCTTTTTGTTTTAAAAAAGTGATATGTTTTTTGATAGATTCTAGTCATAGCTTTACTCATCTGATTAAAATTCTTTTTTGCTTAAAGAACATAAATATGCACGTACACATAACAGAATATATCAGAGTCCAGTACTGTGGTTGACTGTGGCTAGACCTTTTACAGAAATGTCCTCATATTAGGACCACCATAAAAGCCCGTATAGCATCTTTGTGCACATTAGAAAAAGAATTTATACAGCCCTCACATGAGCATGCCTGGCTTGGGGAGAAAAAAGTAGATTGGCTGTAAGCCTATTCAGCTATCAGCTGGATACATTATGCAGAGCCTAACCCCTACAAACATAGTGGAACCCTTTATTTGGGACTATGCAGGTTGATGGCACACTTCTCCAGCTAAAGGGGCTGAGAGCCATCTAGTCTGCTGCCCTGGGCTTCTCTGACTGTAGCAAGTTCCTCACTCCAGGTAGATAGCATCCATTCAGGAAATCTGAACATGGTACTGGGTGACTAAAACAAAGGAGAGTTGCTTCCACTCTTGGACTCCTTCCAGGGAATCTGTAGCTCTTCAATCAGTAAGGTAGCTTACTGGTTACAAAGTACGTTGAATTTGGGAATGGGAGTGAAGCAAAGTCTGAATAGTCATTTCTACCAATTTCCGAACCTAGATCTGTTATTTTTTACTCCTTTAACTTGGGCACTCATCCTCAATCTCCCTTGAACAGTTTGGTTTGTTTTCAATTTGCCTCACTCTAAACTCACAGTTACTCCTTAGACCAGTAGCTTGTGTTGAATGGAGAGTTATGCCCCAGGTTTGGCTCTGCTACTGAAGAGCAATTGACATGTGAAGCAAATGATTGGCTGCCTCTGAACTTTACTTTTGTTATCTGTAAAATGGGGTAATATAAAGATGCAAGGAGATGAACAGTGTGAAATGCATCAAAAACCATAAAGCACAATGCAAATTAAAGACACAATTGAAACCACAAAGAGTTAATTTAGCCTAAAGTTACAGTAGAGCAAGTTATTCATCTCTTTTAATATCATTTCTAGACACGGTTTGGACATATGTTAAATACTGAAGAATGGCCGGGCGCGGTGGCTCACGCCTGTAATCCCAGCACTTTGGGAGGCCGAGGCGGGCGGATCACAAGGTCAGGAGATCGAGACCACGGTGAAACCCCGTCTCTACTAAAAATACAAAAAATTAGCCGGGCGCGGTTGTGGGCGCCTGTAGTCCCAGCTACTCGGGAGGCTGAGGCAGGAGAATGGCGTGTACCCGGGAGGCGGAGCTTGCAGTGAGCTGAGATCTCGCCACTGCACTCCAGCCTGGGCGACAGAGTGAGACTCCGTCTCAAAAAAAAAAAAAAAAAAACAAAAAAAAAACTGAAGAAATATATCATTTTCAACTGTCTGAATCCATATGTGGTTGATTTCAAAACTTAATTGTGTTTGAATGAAGAATCAATACATTATAACTACACTAACATTGCTCTGCTGAACTATCTGTGCAGGTTTCTGATGCTTTCATAGTATATTTCAATTTTCCCATTATATTTTCATTACTATCCCATATGTTTGAAAGGATTCTTTGAGAATTGAGTCACAAATCCCAAATGAATGGTAATAACTATTTGTTTTGACTTCAAGCTGCATTGTTAGCAGGTTCTGTAGTTTTTCCTGGTTCTAGGCTGTCTCTGTATGAGAGACACCAAACAATTCTTCCTAAAACATTCATTTCATCATGTTCCTTCTTAAAGTTTCCCCACTTTCCCAGCTTTTATTATTGTGAGTGACAGCTAAAGCTCATCATGGTTTGGCTACAGCATTGCTTTTGGTACTTGTCTCTCTGTTTTAGAATATAGATACCTCTTTCCTAGCCAGGCTGAGCATTTCACAGTTTCACATGAGAGAAGACTGTTCTCGATGGTGTCTTTGATCATTCTGACCTTACCCAGAACGCCTTTATCTCACCGTTGCCATAGCCAGTCTGACCCACTGCACAAGGTCCTATTCTGGACTTTTGGAGGTTTTCCAGTTCTAGTGACTTCTCTCTCTCTGATAAACCTTGACCCTTGGAACGCATTGCCTGGGAAACCCCTTGATTTCTAGGACCATACTGCCTTTAGGGCAGTGCTGTCAATGCCAAAGTCAAGTCCAGATGGATCCTCAGGCCATGCTGGGTCCTTCTTCTTCACCCTGAGAGCAACCAATTCTTCATTTGGGGCAAGTGTAACTCCACTGTTAACAAAATAAAGCCCACCAGTAAAATACAGACTTACTAACTGCTAATCGTAATGGGCTCGCGACCAACAGAAAACATAGTGCGGTTGTAAGACAACAGAGGCCAACATGACCATGAGGGACACAGGAAATACAGCCGGATGCTGAGAAGGTAATGACAGCAACACTGCAGGAAGCTGTCATCATCCAGAGTCCATCATCCTGTTAAAAGAGTACATTCAAGGTATAAATTTCAAAGATTCTGGTGTGTCTTCTTTAAGTTACTCAATATACTAATGAACTATGTTCTAGGAGGAAATTTTGTCTCCTCCTGGAATATATCATCCAGGTTGGTAAGATCTCCAAACATTTTGAGGACACATTCAAAATGGAATAAAACATTCTGAAGTTTTATTGCACCTGAATCTGCTTACAAACCTCACTGTATCAATGTCAATTCTGAGACAAGATGAGTACATAAGTCATCTTTGTTGGACATTTGGTGTGAATACCTGTCCAGCACCATTTCCCCCTCTAAAAAAGTGTATACTTTCTTGGCTGAGTTGTTTCTCCTGACTCTGTATGTATCAATTGTGCGGACTGACTAGTCCAAAATCTGTAGGGCCCATGGCACTCTGGAAACTCTATGGCATGAGCTGCTGCTACAGTCCAGAGATGGAATTTCTTCTTCCTCAGTTTTGCTTTTGACACTCTTAGAACTGATTGGATGAGATCCACCCCATATTACTGAGAATAATCTGCCTAAAGTCAACTGATTATAGATATTAACCACATCTACACTAGAATTTGCTTTTTAGATGCCACTTGTGCGGGCATTTTCCAAATATCTTTGAAGGAAATAAAATTCATAGGAACCTTTTTATTGAATCAGCCAATGTCGAGGATTCATACTGTGACTTCAAACCAAGTGCAGATACTCTGTGGCCAGATTCTTCTAAGATCTGTAGAATATATTCACCGAATAATGTTCCCAAATCAGCATGTCTGCATTATTCTGGTATGTCAATCTCATACAAACCTGTGAAAGAAATATCTAGTTCAAATGGGAATTATGAGTTTTTCAAGTCACCTTCCTAGAATTGGGATCCAGCCATGGGACTTGGAATGGCTCTCTACTCTCCAATGCCTGAATGCAGCTGTGCATTTGAAGCACCCCATACCGGGAGAGGTAATAGGGAGAGGATGTCAGAATGTTCAGAAGGGGAGAAATGAGGCTAGGCAAGGTGGCTCACACCTGTAATCCTAGCACTTTGGGACGCTGAGGTGGGTGGATCACTTGAGGTCAGGAGTTTGAGACCAGCCTAGCAATATGGTGAAACCCCGTCTCTACTAAAAATACAAAAATTAGACAGGTGTGGTGGCAGGAGCCTGTATCCCAGCTACTTGGGAGGCTGAGGCAGAAGAATTGCTTGAACCTGGGAGGCAGAGGTTGCAATGTGCAGAGATTGCACCACTGTACTCCAGCCTGGGTGACAGAGAGAGATTACATCTCAAAAAAATAATAATAATAAAAATAAATAAGTAAATAAATATTTTTAAAAAATAAAGAAAGGGAGAAATGGGATTGAGGCGGCTCACAAGGGGACTAGTCCAGGCTCCAGGGCCCTACTTGCAGGCACTCCTAACTCTGTTTCCAGCACCAGAGTGGGATTATGTCAACTAAGGAAACTAAGGAAGACACTCCCAAGCACGAGGCTCCACTTGAGACAAGGACCCTGCTTGTCCAGGTCTAATGCAGATACTGCTCGGATGTCTACATTTTTTTCATATGTCAGTGCTGATGATGGTCATAGCCAGAGCACATTTCTTTTTTTACTTTAATTCTGCTATCTCTCAGAATAGGAATTTTATTTCTGTGAATTGTGTATTTTTAAAAAGCACTTCCCACCCCCATAATCACTATCTCTCAACACATGCGCGAGTGAATACACACACACACACACACACACACAACTAAATAGGATTCTTGTTAGAATAACTAAATTTGGAGATGAAAAGAGAGGATTAAGTATAGTGCTCATCCTATATTCTCCTCTTACAGTAATTGATATAACATCAGTGAGATTTTACTGGCAAAATTGATTCAAATCAAACCAGAAAAATTCAGCCTCAAGAACTGAAAATGAGCTAAAAGATGGTAAGCAAAGAATAATAATATGTGGCAATGTCTTCAAATTATTCATATTTTAAGCTTTATATAATTTGAAGTTGCAAAGATGTGTTTAACAAGCGTGGATTTTTAAAAATGTGATGTCTTTATTAATGATCAGGAAGCAGTACTGAAAACACAATAATGTTATCTCCGTGATGTTAAATTGGAAGGCATTGAAAACATTTGGGAAGAAATATAAATAATACAAATAGAGCTATACAGGTTATAAATATGAATGGAAGAGAGAACAAAGATATTTCAGAAATATACAAAACAATTGTGCGTATAGGAAAATATAATTGAAAACAAAGAAATCCTCAGCTAGGTTAATGGTCCTGCGATATCCTTTTCTATTTAGTGTCCCATGTGCCACTGGGGTTGGTTTTGTATGATATTCCAAGGGGATGGTCAGAAGTAGTTATACTGATGTTGGGCAATCAATAAAGTTGTACTTTAAAATCTTTTTTCTATTATTACAATGTGATAATGTGGCCATATGTCAATCTTTATGAAATAACTTTTTCTTTCTCCTTGGATTAGTATTTTAAGGCTGCCACATCACACAACTCCTGGAGCTCCATTCATATACTCCTTTCACAGTCTAGGCAAATAGTGTTCTCTGGGGGTATGCAGTGAACACCCTGTATAACTTTATACCTTGCCTTAGTTTAAAATAAAATGGGCACTTTTATTTCAGAGTGTTCCCCTGTATCCAGTGATATTTGCGTGATACTATATCTAGAATGTAAACAGCATCCATTGGGTTATGTCAAACAATCATTTACCCTGAACTACATAATTATTCAACTACTTGGCATTAGGCAGGCCATAATCTGAATGATTTAGTGATTTACTGACTACTTTTCTGGGAAATTTGAACAGTACAGATATGTCTCCTGTTACTCTCTGCAGGTTTTACTGGCTTGTAAATTTTTCATAAAAGTGATTTCTACCTATATATTTAATTAGGTTTCACATTGTTTCACAGGTCACATTGTACCTATTGGCTTCAAGTCAATTTACAGGATAAAATGCACCCACTGATTCCAAGCTTGGAAGGAGAAGGTCTCATTATATACTGTGTCAGGTCAGGTCTCCCAGAACTGTTGGAAAGGTTGGTGTAGGACCTCCTCATGGGAGATTTGGGACTTCAAGCTGTGGCAAAAGCCCATTTTAAGCAAGTATAAAATTTTAATCTCCTGCTATGAGAATACTTTTATGGATGTGTGCCTTTGCATTACTTTTAAACTACATATCTAATAATCATTCTTAAGAAACTTCTGGCTTCACATATATTGATGAAAATTATTAATTATAGATTATTTTCCTCTGCATTGTATTTCTCCTTTCTGATAGAGTTCTATGGTTAGTTAATTATGGATTAGAACATCCCTAGAACTTGGAGATCTGTTTTGGAACATTCAGTCAATACAGTTCACACATTGTAAACAGGCTTGGCTGATGATATTGTTATGTCTAGGGAAGGTTGTGTGAACCAACAAGGAACCACCTGCATGAAGGTCAGTAAATTGATGTGAGAGCCCAGAATTACCTGTGTTGCTCTCTTATTATTCCAAGGGAAAGTCATCTGCATTAAGTCTCTGGTTCCCCAACCAGCTGTGTGTAGCCCCCAGTGGAGATGGACCCATTAGGCACTCATAAGCCAATGCTGTTGTCATCGAAATTAAGTCACTCATTTTTCTTGGCAGTCTGAACATATCCTGACTTCTCATGTTTTAATTTGGGGAGTAAGAGTATATACTGACAGGACAATGTGAGCCTTCTGACTCGTTTAGCAGTATTCATTCTCATTAATTAATGATACAGAATCAGTGTTCTACATCAGTGGATTATGACTTTACTTAGTTGAGTCATGTCCTTAAGTTCAGTCATCTCTAGGTCCCTTGAAAAAATCTGGTGTCTGGATCCAACATTGGAGGTCAGACATTTGACCACGGGGCTCTTACAATATAATTGTGCCCCACACTTCCCTCATACACCCCACCCTATAATATATGAACAGTTTCTACAAATCAATAAAATAAAGACATCCAACACAGTAGTAATATGGATAAAAACCTCAAATGGACATCACACACACACACACACAGTCCAAATGGCCCAATAAACATGTGAGAAGGTGTGCAGCCTTCTTAGTCATCACATAAATGCAAATTAACACAATTATTTGATACTATGCATAAATCATAATGACTACAGATTCAAAAACTTAAAAATATCAAGGACTGCAGAAGATAGAAAGCAACTAAAACTCTCATTCAATGCTGGTGGGAATATAAATGTATAAACTGCTATAGAAAAAATGTTGATAGCATTTACTAAAGCTTAACATAAGTTTACCTTATAACCCAGCAATTCTGTTCCTAGGTATGTACCCAACAGAAATGTGTACGTATGGGCACTGGTAGATATGTGTCAGAGTATAGTGTCACTATTCCTAATAGTTAAATACAGAAAATGACCCACATTTTCCTCAACAGTAGAATGGATAAATTGTGATAGATTCATAAAATTGATAAGTAGTCCATGAGAATAAACAGCCATGTTATGCAACATAGATGAATTTCAAATGTATGATGTTGACAGTAAGAAGGCTTTTATTTCAATAGTTGTCAAAATGGGCAAAATCAACTGAGGGTGATATAAGTTAAGATAATGAGGAGCTTCGGAGAGGGCAGTGACTGGAAGGAAGTACATGGTGGGCTTCTAGGTTTCTGACAATATTCTGTGTGTGTGTGTGTGTGTATATATATATATTTTTTTTTTTTTTTTTTTTTTTGAGGTGGAATCTCTGTTGCCCAGGCTGGAGTGCAGTAGCATGATCCTGGCTCACTGCAACCTCCGCCTCCTGGGTTCAAGTGATTCTTCTGCCTCAGCCTCCCAAGCAGCTGGATTACAGGTATGTACCACCACATCAAGCTAATTTTGTATTTTTAGTAGAGATGCGGTTTCACCATGTTAGCCAGGCTGGTCTCGAATTTCTGTCCTCAGATGATCCATCTGCCTCAGCCTCCCAAAGTGCTGGAATTACAGGCATGAGAACTGTGCCCGGCCCAATATTGTACTTTTTGATGTGGGTGGTGGTTCATGAGTGCGTTCACTTCTTGAAAATTCTATGAGCTGTATATTTGTGATTGGTGCACTCTTCATGTATCTTCTTTTTCAATAAAAGTTTATACATATATATATGTACATATATAGATGACAGAGAGAGCAAGAGCTGTATTGAGACTTAGCTATATTGAACCAGGTTTTATAAATATAGTGAGTATAAAAGAAGGATGATTTTTCAATACCATCTGCCATTCCTCCAGAATATGCAATCCATCAGGTCTGAAAGAGCTCGTAATTAAAGTAATACCAGGATTACATAGAGATTGTTGTGAAGTCTGGAGTCACAGTCAGAGCAGTAAGACCTTTTTTATTAAACAGCTATAAAAATATTTTGGGATAAGATGTTAAATAACTTCATAGATATAAACATGTTGAATCAAAGTTTGCTGTAAAAAGAAAAAAGCCTAATTTTAATAATAAACACTATCCTACCTCAAATAAATCAAATAAATTGAAAATGTAGTTGTAATATATTGTCTTTTTCCTCCACAACCAAGAAAAAAGTCTTTTCTTCCAGTAGTAAGAATAATAGGGCACACAGAAGCCAACAGAGAGAACACTGAATATCCAGGTGGGGTTTAGGGTAGATTCACAGGGGAGGCAAGGCACAATTATATATTGTGAGGTCCTCATGGTCAAGGGTCTCATCTCCATTTTTTGATCCAGACACCAGATTTTTTCAAGAAAGAATAAGCCAATCTATGTCATCCATATAGATGAAAAGAAATCACAAAAAGCTGTGGAAGATAATCCAGTAATGTATAAAAAGTAATGTATGATGACAAAGTTGTCTATGTTCCAGGCATGCAAGGTTGTTTTAATATTTGAAAGTATCCAAGATTCATCCCATTATCAGGAAATGGGGAAACTCATGATTATCTCAACAGATTCTGTAAAGCTCTTGTTAAAATTTAACATGTATTCATAATTGATAATAAAAAAACTCTTAGCAACTGAGAATAAAGGAAAAAAAAATTTGGTGTGATGGAGCAGAGTCTACAAAAAAGCCTAGAGTGAAAAAACGGAATGCTTTTTTTCTAAGATTGGGAATAAAACAAGGAAGCCAGTATCTCCATTTTTATTCAGTATTGTGCTGGAGGTATTACCCAGTGCAATGGGGCACAAAAACCTAAAAGATTTAATATTTGGAAGAAAAATTAATACAAATAATCATTAATTTGCTGATATAAAAGAGCACATATGGAAATCTAAAATAATCTAATCACATGATTAAAATTATGAGTTGAATTTGACAAGCTCACTTTTTGTAATTATTGTATAAAATCAATTCTCTTTCTATAAATCAAAACAAATAGAAAAAAATTCAGTGTCACTATTTACAAAGCAAATTCTTTAAATAAGACACAAAAAGCAGTGACCCAGAAAACATTTGACTACTATAAAATCAAGAGCATCTCTTCATTAAAACATGCAATCCATGGATTAAGAAAAGATATTTGCAATGCATATATTCAGTATTTCTTTCTAGCAATGTTAAGTTTTGTGATCAACGTTATGATGATTCTCTAACATTAGATTAGAAATTGTTCATTCTATTTACCTTTTCAGGAAGAGTTTGCACCATATTGTTGAGGTTTCTTCCTTAAATATTCAGAGAACTTGAAGTATGAAGTCACAAGGATCTAGAGAATACTTTGTGGAAAAGTTTTAAATTATAGATTCTATCTCTTTAATATATGTGAGACTATTCATAAAGTCCTTTTCTTCTTGAATTAGCTGTGATGAGCTGTTTTTCCAAAAGTTTGCTATCTAAAGTTTGGCATTTATAAGCAAGAGTTGTTTATCAAATACTTGTAAGGACCAACGGGAAAATTTCCCCTTTGCCCTCTGAAGGGTTGCTGAAAACTCAACTCACAAAAAAACAGATTAATTGGAGAAAAGCCATACACATTTATTGATGTATACGCAGGAGAATCACAGTGATTACTCAACTACTGAAGCCCACAATGGAGTGCAGAAGCTTACATACATCCTGAGATTACAGAAAAAATAGAGGCTCAGAGAATGGCCAAAAACAGGTTATGATGGTAAATCGGGTTATGGTGACAAGATGGATTATGGGAGGAAGAGAAGAGGAAGCCTGTCTAGCAAAGGTGGTCTCCTTATATAAATGAAACTTCAGAGATAACAGCCCTCAGCAGGAATAGATGGTAAACATTAAAAAACAAAACAAAACAAAACAAAACAAGAAAACCTTAAAAGATGTAAGACTCTGAGTTAATCTTTTCTAGGTGGGGACAAGGGAAAGCCTGGCTGTATCAATGCAGATTCTCTACAGGTGCAAATCTCCCCCTCAAAAGACAGCTTTGCCAGCCTACTTCTGTTTTCTGGCTCTCCGAACAGGCATCTCAAAATATGTGAGAGAAATATATTTTGGGGTAAAATACTTTAATTTCCTTTATACTCACATTATCTTTTTAAAGGTATAATGTACACAGTATAGTAGGCCAGATTTTAAGTCTGCATCTCAATGATTTGGAATAAATGTATATGTCTGTGTATCCATTATCCCATTTAAAAGAAAAAATAACCCATCACTCCAATACCTTTCCTGACACATTTTTTTCTTAGTAATACCTCACTCCTTCCTACAGGCAGATATCCTTCTGAGTTCTTAGTTTTTCTTGTTCAGGAATGTCATATAAATAAGATTATATAATATGTATTCTTTTGTGAGATTTCTTTAATATAACATAATATTTTTGATATTTATGTAGTATATACATTAAGTTTGTATTTTTTATTATTGAGTAGTATTCCATTATCTGAGTATAGAATAATTTGTTTTTTCACCTATTGATTTAACTTAGTATAATATATTTGCTTGACATCTGTTGGTGTGTTGTTTTACATTTCCTTAATGACAAATGACATTGAACGTCTTTTAAATATATTTCTTGGCCATCTATACATTGTATTTTGTATATAAGCTTATGCCTTTTGCCCATTTTTATTTGTCTTTTTTATTACTGAGTTGTAGTAGATTTATCATTGTTCTTTTTCACTAT